GAAAGCCCAGTGTTCTACAGCGTGGGTGGAGTTCGTGGCCGGTCCCGTCCCGTCCTTCAGTCGCCCGGTCACGTTTCAGAATAAAACACGCCGTCGGGTTGTGCAGCCGCAGTTATTTCTTAATCATGTCAAAAAAAATCTGATCCATCCGGTGGTTTTCTGTAAAGCAGCAGAGTTTGAGGTTCTCTCCAGAGGTGGAACCACGTCGCCAGGTGGGTCTCCACAGGGGAAGTAAAGAAATATAATTTTAAAAAATTAAGGAAATAAATAAAGGAGAATAAAACTAGCAAATAAGATAAAATTAAAAATAAATTCAATTAAATTTTTTTTTTAAAAAGGTAAAAGAAAATAACATTTGCAAATAAAGACAATAAATTAAAAAAGAAATAAAAATAAAATAAGATATAAAATTAAAAAGGTAAAAGAAAATAAACTTAATGATTAAGATGAATAAAATAAAGAATAATTACAATAAAACAAGATCTAAAATTACAAATAAAAAGGATAAATGAGAATATTAACAACAGATAAGATAAATAAATAAAATGAAGAAGAGAAAGAAAGAAAAATTCGATGAGATGCTAAATTCATTTTAAAATTTAAAAGGGCAAAAGTGAAAAAAATAAACAAATAAGATAAAGACAATGAAATAAAAAAATAAAGTACAAAACTAAAATTAAAAGCAGGTTAAAAAAGAGAAGAATTAAATTACTGATTAAGATAAATAAAATAAAATAATGAAAAGAAAAAAATGGACACAAAGAGGAGTTAATGTCAATAAATGTATTTAAATACATAAAATATTTAACGTGTTTTGGTGCAGAACTTTGTTTTCTGTAAATAATGATGCAGCTTTAACATTTACATGAGTGTGTAACGTAAAACACCGTCAGGTCTTATCTGTGTTATTCATTAATCAGGTTATTATCTATAATTAATCACACTGGAGGGTCTCAGCCGTGTCACGTACCACACTCATGTAGATGGCGTTTAGTACAACTGCTGTATATTTTATTTAATATAACTGTGAAATATTTATTCATGTATTGAACCATTAACTTTAAAAAAAATACATTATTATTATTATTATTATTATTATTATTATTATGGTGGCTAATGATCAATATTTACATTTATTTTATTTATTTACAATAAGATTTGCATGTATTATATTTCACTTACTTTCTAGAATGTAAATTATTCTGGTAAAGTCACACCATAAATATCATTATAAGGTCTGAACCGCAAGATTTAAACCTGTCAGGTTCGTTTGTGATGCCGATCTCCTCTTTCACTGGACTTAACTTGACATAAAACCCCCAGAAATCAACAGAACCAACACTTTAGTAGATTTACTGAAGAACTGTACATGTTTAAATGAGTATTTCCGTTTCATTCTGCTATCCTGAGAGTACATTGAACTTTTAAACATCAAAATCCTACAAAATATTTGACATTTCGCTCCAACTCAACCATCAAACATCATCTGAAGGCTTCAGTAAAGATCGAATTACAAACATGTAAACGAACGTCCAATGAATTAATTGTTCAGTCCGATTAAGAGGCTCAGTACTTTTTCTTTTTTTTTTTTTACTATTCCTGGAAGTAATTTGCTTCCTAGAAAGAGTCAAAGCATCGTTTCTGTTGCTCCAGACTCCTGCAGCAGCTGATGATTATTTTCATCGTTGTTTGTTTTCTGACTCAGTCGATCAGTTGTTTGGTCAGAAAATAGTGACAAACGTCAGTCAGTGTTTCCAGACGAGATGGATTCGTTCACGACCAAAACACAATCAGGAAGTAATTAAACTCAAGCAGCTGGAATCTTTAAAATGACTCAAACCGATCAAACTGTGATAGATGACAACTGATTGATTAATCAGAACCTAATCCAGATTTTAAAACCTCAGTGTTCAGAGGAGTCATAAAGCAAACTGTGAGAGACATGAAGACAGTGTTTGTGTAGTTCCTCTCGCTGCCAGAAGGGGGAGACAAAAGCTCCACGCTGCAGCTTTAAGTAGCTTCAATCTCGTTTCATTTGTTTTTAGCTTCACACAGATTTTAAATCAGGATGTTTCGGACACGTTGGCATGATGGCTGCACCAAGTCGAATATTCTGAATCAGTTCCTCATTTTTAGGCGGCTGCTAGAAGTCAGAGTCTTCGCCCTCGGAGGGAACATTGGTGTAGTTTTTAGACTCACATCAACCTCTGACTTCCTGATTCCGTGGTCAGAAAATAATCTCCCTTTCTGTGAAGCCGTCTCCCGTCTTGGGAGGTGACGTATTCCTCTGGAGGAATCTGTCGGCCGTCCAGCGATGCAGCTTCCTCGGAGGACATCTGACACGTGACGCCGCTGCCTCCATCTTAAGTGGTTTACAGTAGCAGCAGTGCATACATCTTGAGTATGGGTGGCCCCGATGGGAGCTGAGCCTCATATCCTGACAGTGCTGCTGCTGATATATGCTCTGCCCACCGAGCTATACGGAAAATGAAATCCCTAACCTTGGCAGCTTTAGTGCGAGGCTCTACTCATTGAGCTCCATGGGAAATTGAGTTTCCGACTCCGGCAGCAGCTGCAGCTCTTATAGCTCGACCCAAAGGGCTGGAAAACTGCAGGATTCTTAAAGAAGAGATCATTTTCTCTGCGTCGGTCAAAGGGGTCGGAAAAGCTAAAGATACACACATCGCTCTGAATAAAACAATTAAGACGTGAGCCGGTGGAGGAGCGTCTGCAGCTCCCAGAGCCTCCGTCGCACCTTTTATCTTGTTCATCTCCAGCTCTCCGGTGGCATTTTTGAAGGCAGGCGTCTGAGAGAGGTCTCCGGGTCACTGCTAAAGTGAAAAATGATCCGCTTACATCCGCGCTAACATCGGCCGATAAGATTGGGGGCAGATTGGACGGAGCTCCTCGCGTCAGAACCACCGGCTCGCCCACTCCGGGCCTGCTTGGGAGATAAAGCGGACATCAGCGCCGTGCCTGGGATCACCTCCAACCGGTCGGCGAAGGGGGACGGTTCCAGTCCAGTCCGTACCTCTGTTTAGACGTCGCTGCATTTTAACTGTTTGCTTGTTTTCTTGCTGAAGCCGGACGTTGTTTTTTTTTTATTTTGATACTAAATTCTGCAGCAAAAAAGGTCAGAAATTGCCTCAAAGCTTGTAAAAGCCGACATTTATTCTACATACGTTTGCTGCTTCTGTCCTTTCACACAACAGGCCAACCAGCTGCTGCTTTATGCTCCAAATTGAGACAAAAATTGGGGCTTTTAATGTGAAAAATGCAAAACGTTTACGGTACCTTTTGTTGGCCTGACATGTTTCAGGCAGCAGGATGTGCACATTCACGCCCATTATGGAAAAGAGTGAGTTTGTTTGTGCAGACTCTTCTACGCGTCCTAGAAAACAGGTTTCAACTGTTTCATAAATCCATTTACATTCAGAGGCTCAGAACAGAACCCAGCGTTTGCATTCTTAGGCCTCGGTTCAGGTTCAGGTCGGGGGGATGGTGTAGGAGTGAAACGACTTGTACTGTGTTGAACAGAACAACTTTTTTTCTTTTCCGTGACCTCAATCAAGAGCTGCGAGCGCATAAACACGGCGATTAAAAAGCCAGAACATTGCTTCAGTCATTACAAAAGGACGTTTCACTGCAGGGTCAGAGAGAAACACGGAGTCATTGAACACATCGCTGAGAGGTTCAATGTCTTTGTGGCTTGTTAAATACGTTCATTACCAACGTTTACTCATTGTGCTGACAGCGGTCGCCGTTTCCTTGGAAATATTTTGCATTTTTTTCAATTTAGTTGCACAAAATATAATTTGAAAAAAGACAAAGCTATAGTTTGTTTTGGTCAAGGTCTGGACGACGCTTCAATCACGATAAAAAGTGTAGATGTGGGGAAAAAAAACACAAAATGTCCCTTTACTGTGAACTTAAATTGTTCTGTGACTTTCAATAAGAGCTGTGGGAGCATCTGTCAGTGACCTCCTCATTATGTTCATAGAAAAATACATACATGTGTCTGGTTGCATTTTCCTTTAAAATGTAATTTATAGGAATCAAAGAAGAAACTAGAGTTTGAAGCTGAACCTCTGACTCGGTTTTGTCCCTTAAAATCTCAGCTGATGTGAATTTTGGCCGACAACACGAGCAAACAGCTTCACAGGCGTCAGAAAGTTCAGATTTAGATGTTGTGAGTTCAGTGAAATCAGGTGAAGCAGCTCCAGTGTTGATCGTGTAACACTCGTTAACATTTCATCATTACGTTCATCACATAGAAACAACATAAATAATCTATTTCCTGCTGCAGCTTAGTGGCTCCATTTGTCATTTTTAGGAGACAAAACTGCAGTTTTAAAGACAGATTTGAACCTCTGGTTGCTAATGTGATTAATCTTTGTGATTTGATCTGATTTGACTGACGACCAACTCCTATACGTCCTAACATTTAGATTTAGATGCAACAAAGTGTTTGAAATCACTGGAAATAGCTCCAGTGTTAACAGGTCTCTAATTAACAACATGTGCTCTTTTTGTTAATTGCATAAAAATAAACTTTCCTTGAACTGGATGTGCAGCTGCATTTAGGTTGCATCTAGCGTACCAACACACAGCTACAGTTTCAGGTGTCTTCCTTTATTCAGAACTCTGGATTGTTGCTTAAACTTCTCCGCTAATCTGATCAGTCTTTGTAAATCGATCCGGTTTTGGGCCACAAACAGCTTCGTAGCTCTCATTCAACTGGTCTGAATTCTGCTGAATTAAGTTGCTTGTTCAGAGCGTGGCGCTGACGGAGGGAAACGGGCCTGTGAGGTGAAGTTTGGGTTGAAGACTGTTTAACCAACATGTGTGTTTGTCATCTAACATCACCGACATGCGTCTTCTGACTCCATGTGACCAGAGACGAAGCTCGGACGCAGCAGCTTCGATCAAAGTCAGCGATGATCTGCGTGAACGCTGTGACACGACGCTAACGCTGTGTTTTCTCTGTTTTCTCTCCACAGACCACTTGGGCATCGAGTTTATGGGTAAGGAAGCTTGTTTTATATATTTATTCTCTCTCTCTCTCGTCTGCATGAGTCACGCCTGTAAACACTGCCGGCGCTTCACATACAGAACATGCATCATTCATAAGAGCCCGGGATGGTTCTGATCACACATTATAGCTCCTGACGTGGAAACAGAGGAGCTGAACAGAAACACGAGAACACGCCGTCGACGGTGTGTGAACGTGCATTTACATTTCCACGAGCATCGCCGCGGCGCCGTCTCCGTGCACACGTGTGTGTTTACGTTTCTGCAGCTTCTTTCCTGCACTATCTCTTTCTTTTCTCTCACAATTGCTTATGAAGTGTCCCTTCAGAATACCAATGTGCTGCAGTCTCCTTGGAAACAGAGAACAGAGAGGCGGGCAGGGCGCAGCCAGCCAGTTTCTCTTTTTTCTGTTTTTGTGATGCTGGCACCGTTATCAAATGCTCTCCTCATTAGTCCGTGTGTGTGTTTGTGTGTTTGTGTGAGATCCTTTGCGCTGATTGTGTGTCGGTGGATGCCGGCCGGCGGTTCTGCCAGGATCCTCGCTCCTGTTCTTGGCTCCGGCGTCGCGGCTCAGGAGCGCTAGCTAGTTAGCGACACGGAGGCTCGCTGTTCACCGGAGCCGCTCGCGTTTTTTCCTCCCAGTCGGCGCAATTCGGGCCTTTTTCCACCACAGACGGGTCAGAACAGCAGAACAGGGTCCAAGGAAACGGGTTCTTCTTTGTCTGACGTCCCAGCTGGAAATTCTGAGTTCTTCTTAGAATATTCTAGTGTTCTAGTCACATATTAAATCCTAAGTTTATTGTTCCCAGCAAGTGAAGCACTGGCTAACGTTAGCTACGAGTTCTAAAACATTCGTCAAGAAAAGATTTAAAATGTTCCAATATTCCTTGAGAACATCGTGGGAACTAAAAACTTCAAGCATCAACAAATAATTGCAAATAACTTTCCCACCAAGTTGTTGGATTGAAAGACATCTAGATGGGATGGTTCCTGCAGGAACCACTTTCTCAAATTCTCTTTAAGTAACTCAACTTTTTAAAAAGCTCTTGCTATGAGGTTCTTTGTGGAACCCCAGAAAACCCCAGCTAGCATGAAATGTTCCAACAAGTCTGGTTAAAATTACAGACAAGTTTGTCATCCGACCTCAGAAAAGAACATTGTGGGAACTAAAAAGAGGCGTTCTGCTGAAAACATGGACAAAACATTGCAGAACTTTCTCACCACGTTTTAGAAAAAAACCCCAAAGAACCAATTAAGCAGGGATGGTGCTACAGGAACTTTTTTTTTTCTTCTTACTGTTCTATCAAGGTTCCCTTTTAGAAACTCTGCTATAAAACAAGCTCTTGCTAAAAGGTTCTTTGTAGAACCTCAGAAAAATTGTGCCAGCATGAAATGTTCCCACAGCACGGGCTAACACTACGGACAAGTTCTAAAACGTTTGTAAAGAAATGGTTTTAAAATGGTCTAACGTTCTTTCACGGATGTCGTCCTACCTCGAACGAAAACATTGTGGGAACTAAAACGAGGCGTTCTGCTCAGAACATTGACAGAACCTTGCAGAAGCTGCGTCTGAATTCTAAATTAAAAATCTCGTTAAAAGAATAATTTAAAGGTTTGATGCAGTTTAATTGAAAAGTGAACTCTCTCTTTTCTTTCTTTGGCGTCGAGCAGCTCAGGTCTGATGTGTTTCTGCGGTTCTGATGCACGTTCCACTTCCTGAGTTGCCAAACCGGAGCAGGATGAGAGGAAATGAGAACTTTTCCCTCCTCTGCGGCGCAAATGTCACAGTTTGTGTCGCCGCCTTCGAAATAATGTAAAAGAGGCCGAGACGCCTCAGACCGCCTCCTTCTGGCACGAGCTCGACATTAAACCCTCCGGATGGAAATTGAAAATCAACATGAGTTAGAACGTGCCCCCACAGAACAGCTGCCTGTAGCACTTTGCTCCGGCATTGATTTACAAGCAGGTGGAACATCTTCCAGTCAGAGCTCAGTGATCTCTGATGGAAAGGAAATATTGATGCCCACACGACTGACTGACTGGATCCACTGAAGGTTTTCTCCCCTTCTGATATCAAATATGTATTAAGCAGAAGGCAGGATCCAACGGTTCTTAAATGTATTCTGCGTTTTCTGAAGCTCTGGGTGGCTGACGTCCTGACATCTCCAACTTGTTTTTTAATTTTAACCCCAGAAACTGTTCGTCTGTTCATCGCTATAAAAAATAACCCAGATGGGATCAGACTGGTTCCTTCAAAAAGAAATATGTGGACCGTGTTCTGCAGTTTCTCTAATTCAATCATATCAGTACATTTAATGTAATGCTATTTGCTGCTGTTAGACAGCATTATTAAACGTTAAATGTTCTATTCTTGTGCATAACGCTCTAAAAATGTCTTTACGGAACGTTAAGCAGAACATAGTTCAAACTAAATATCTGCTGAAAACATTGCCAGAACTTTCCCATAATGTTTATAAATGAAAAAAAGTTCTCGGTGGGAAGAGACGCACCCAGCTAGGAGGGAACGTTCCAGAAGAATTTGCTAAGATTACTGAGAAGTTCTACTAAGGTTTTAGTCTAATCTTCAAAGAACGTTTTATGGATATTTATTTAAGTAACACAATTATGTTCCTTTGAGGTTAAAAGTTAACTAAGACGTAACCTGCAGCATTCAGAGGATGAAAAAAAAAATGTTTTCAAGATGTTCTCCGATGACAGAACATCTTTTTTAAAACACATTTTTAGAACGTCTTTAAAGGAAGTTAGATTTCTAGAATGAAAAGTTGCGTTCCATGCAGTGCAACTAATGCAACGTTTGGAAAATATTGTCTTTAGAGAACTTTATTTTGCCATCAAGAGGAACATTCTGGGAACTTTAAAAAAAAAAAAAACCGTCCTACTACTAACAACATAGAACTTTGCAGAAGTTGCTGAAACCGTTATAAGAACGAAAAACACTGATGGATGAAAAGACGAATGTTCTCAAACCGACATTCAAAAAATGTTCTCAAGACAACAGAACATATTTTTAACAAAACGTTCTTATGTTTTACCGTTTGAACAAATGTAGAACATCGTGCTCTTTTGGAATATCTTCAGATGAACATTTTGCTAAAAGCATCAGTAGAACCTCGCAGAGCATTTTTAGAACAAACAGAACAAATCTAGCTGAGATGTTCTTAAAGGATCACGTTCTGTAAAAACATTTGAACAACATTTGACGATAACACTGTTAGAACAACATGCATTATTAAGACGTCTTTATTGGGATAATGTTCCTCAAACACATGATGTGTCTGAACACTTTGCTGAAACGTTCCCTAACGGTTCCGTTCCTTCTTTCTAACCCAATCAGACATGAACTCTGATGCTTTCTGCTGCTGCAGCTTCTTAAGAACCCTTTAAAGCTCCGTGTTGAATGTTAAACGTGATATTTCTGATTTAAGCGAGATCCGACGCACACAAAAGGAATTACAGATGCCAACGTCGCTTCTGTGCTTCAAGAGCGCCCTCGACGAGAAGAGCCTTTCTTTAAAGAACCGCTTAACCAGACGCTATTTATGGTCACTTTGTAGACGCGAGACCGAGATCATCGAGGTTCTTCCCAATAACGACGTTTCCATTCAAAGAAGCCCTTCAAAGGAGAACGTCGTTAAAGCACTCCAGTTCCAGGCTGTAATTTTAGGCCTTCAAACTGCGTGAAGTGTAGATTCGGTGCCTTTTATCGATAATCAGTAGAACCGTGTGGCAGACGAGTTCTAGCAGATGTGAGTGTTTTCCTTCCAAAGCCACAGACGTGGACGCAGCGGGCCGAGCGTGGGAGGTTCTGATTTATCTGCCGACACAAAGCCGGGGAAGACGTTGGCAGCGCCGGAGACGAAGGAACCGCGGCGGCCCGAACAATGTTGCAGAGGCAGAAAACCTCTCGCTGAATATAAATGGGGGAGAAACCTGCAAGATAGCGGCGTGGAGAAGATCGTCTGTCACTGCCAAGTTTGCATCGTCTCAGCAGGTTTCCCAAAAAAAAAAAAACACAAAAAGAAAAGAAGCAGCTTCAGTTCATCTGACTGCAAATGCAGCGGACGGGATGCAGACGGAGAACGGCATCCTGTGAAATCTTTCTTTGATCATGGAAGCAGGGTTCCCACCGTGCAGGGAACGTTCTCGCAACGTTACCTGCAAGTACTTCTGAGGTTTTAAGGAATAATCAAACAATAATTACATAATGTTCTGATTAGAAAGTCAACAGAGACGCAATGTTTTAAAGGGAACATTCAGAGGACGTTGTCGGATTATTGTTCCACGATAACGAAGACGGAACGTTCTCAAACCAAGACGTTATCGAGGCCTCAGAGGGCAGAATGTTATTTACAGAACGTTCCTGTAACGTGATATATTAGCAAAAGTGGAACGTTCTTCCTGCAATGTTCTGAATGTTGTCAACATTTTTCAGATGTTATCAAGGTCTAAGATGACAGAACGGTTTTTCTTGCAGAACATTCCAGCGCTGTGATATATTAAAGGTGGAACGTTTTAGGCCTTTTGGTTGAGGAAACGTATTGTAGAACGTTCTTCCACAATGATTACAAAAGAAGGGCGTCTTTAGGATGTTATCAAAAAAACATTCTTCATTCCTGCAATACGATATGTTAGCAAAGGTGGAATGTTCTTGTAGTGTTCCGAGGACGTTATTAGGGAATGTTACTGAGGGAACATATTGTAGAATGTTCTTCCTCATGACAACAAAAGAAGGATGCTTTCAAAATGTTATCGAGACTTCAGATGACAGAACGTTCTTCATTCCTGTGACACCACATATTGACAAAGGTGGAACGTTCTTCCTGTAATTTTATGAAGTTGTTTTGGGGACGTATTCCATAAACATTCCCGCAATGTTTTAAAGGGAACATTCAGAGGACGTTGTCAGATTATTGTTGCATGATAACGAAGAAGGAACGTTCTCAAACCAAGACATTATCGAGGCCTCAGAGGA